TTCTGTCATATATTTGTATACACATTTTACAGTTCACAAGACATTTTAAATTTTCTTAATCACGTCTGAACACCATACATATCTTTTTGGCACATCAAAGTCACTAACAGTTGCACAGGTTAATCCCCCTGCCCCAATTCCATAGCTATTTAATGCCCAAACCAGATATTAACATAACTTTGATTGTGTTAATTCAATTATGTACCAGCTGCTGGACTTGTAAGCTCTACCCATCTCTCCCTACGGTGATGACCTTGGAACAGATCATTACTGAAACTTGTTACTTCAAGCATGGACACTATAAAGGCACTCAATGCATTTCATTTTTGAAAATAATCTCTACTTATTAAAAAAAGAAATGAATATAAACCCAAGTGATATAGTCTCACAAACTTACTATTCTCCATTCTTCCTTTCTCCTGATATTTTCCTTGCACACTTATACCTTACAACTCAGAATAACACTTTCAAGTCTCATTCTTTCTTCAATTTTAAACTATAAAAAATTACAGTTCGAACTTTCTTTCCAAATCCCATGGAACTTCTACATCCTCACATTTATCACAGAATCTTTTGGGCTTAGGTTTTTTAGGTTTTAGTTAAACTTACGAAACCAAGCTGATTCCTGCTGACTTCGAATCATTCAAATTAGCAGAGCTATACTATGCAGCAGTAGCAAGTATAGAATTTATTAATTAGAGGGTCTGGAGAGATGGATCAGCAGTTCAGAGCACTGACTGCTCTCATACAGGATCCGAGTGCAACTCCCAGTACCCACATGGCGGCCAACAACTGTCTTTAACACCAGTTCCAGAGGAGTCAATGCCCTCTTCTGACCTCCACAGGCACCGCATGACACGAGTGCACTTACAAACATACAGGCTGCACGTATAAACATATAGGCAATATACTCACAAGCATAAAATAAATTTTAAAAATTATTAGTTAGAGAAAATAAGAGGAAATAATCCCCTCCAGGCATCTGCAGAGGTGAGAAAGTATCCTCTCTCCTCTTGCATGTTTATCAGTACCTCAGAATCCCATGGTGATTCTTCATCTTCATCTTCTCCTAATCCTAATGCAGACATCATTTCTATAAAATGAAGTCACATATACATTACTGAGAACATCTGTCACTGAATTTCAAACACAAGTACATTTATCTCCATTCATGAAATTACTATAAAATACAAATGTAAAAAGAATTTAAGTGGGTTGAAGCAGTTTCAGAAAGAACTGCTAGCAAGAGGAAAGAGTACCAGGAAAATCTTTGGAGGAAACAGTACAATTTTTAGATCTAGACACTTCAGTTTTCATAACAGTATTTAAGCTTGGAAACCTTTTCATTAGGTATTTGCTGACTCACCGCTCCTGTTACTTTTGTGCCACCCATCAGCATAAGTTAAATTGTCATCATTTGGTTGCTCTTGTGAAGCACTCTCAATAACATCAGTACCATTTTCTTCTTTTCCCATTTTTGGCTCTGCTGTTCCCTCCTATGAAAAAGAAAAAAAAAAAATCCAACTTCAAATGCCTATTTGTTCACTCATCCCCCCACTAGTTCAACCAACCAGTCAGTAAAGATAACAACCTTTACTGTATGTACCAAATCATAAGCCCTATTGTGGGAGAAACTGGAAACTAGAAGCTGAGGATATTTAAAACAAATGGGAACAGATCATTAGCTCTACAACTGAAATGAATATACTAAGGAAAGCAGAGGGCTGACCATTCTATCTGGGAAGTTCAGGGAATCCTGCAAACACAGGATCATATCTTAAAAGAGAGAAAGCGCCATGGCAAGGTATGAAGGCATTCTACACGGGCAGCCTGAGAAAAACACGGGACATGAAACAACACAGCAAATGAGGGCTATCAAAGAAAGCAGGTAAAACTGGAATAAAGTTTATGCACTGCTAAAACAGGAGGATCAGGACAAACTGCAAAAGACATTATCCATGCAAGAATATGAACACACTCAGAACCAGAGAGATGGCTTAGCGGTTTAGAGCAGTGGCTGCTCTACCAAAAGACCCAGTTTGATTTCCAGCACCCACATGGCAGCTAACAACCATCCATGACTCTAGTTCCAGTGAATCTGACACTCTCTTCCGGCCTCCTCGGGGCTTTGCATGACACAGGCACCCTAACATACATGTAGGCAAAACATTCATACAAGGCTTCCCTGGGCCTGCACCACCCACCGAAGGACTCTCTCCTACCCGCGGGCCTCTCTCGGGGGTAAGTCCATCAAGGCCTCCGCACCTTGACTCCCCCAGCCTCATTCACCCTCCCATCTCCCGCGCCGTTCTCTCCTCCTGGTTTGGGACCTGCCCCATTCCTTGTCTTGGGACCCCAGACACCTGGGGAACTAATACTGCTTCCTGATCCTTTTCATTCAGACCAATGTAGTTCCTTCTCTGGGCCCCAGGAGCACTGCTTCTGGGTCTGGCCAAGCCCTCACCTCCCTCTGTTTCCCTGGGCCTGCACCTCCAGCCTCTTTCTGGGACATGGAGGATGACCTTTCCTCTTCCTGATCCTTTGCATCCAGACCAACACAGCTCCTCAGTGCAGTCCCCAGGAGTCCTTGGGGCCTCTTCCCGGGCCATCTGCCTTTGCATCTCTGAGTGGCATGGCCACCAGCTCCCCTAGACCAGCATCTTTCCTGGGCCAGGCTCCCAGGCCAGTCCAACTCCCAAATTCCTGAGGCAAAAATCGTTCCTGGAGGGATCCAGACCTTAGGAGAAAGCCTGAAAACATCTGACCCTCATCTGACTTGGGCCTCTGTGGTAACTCTTGAAGACAAAAGCAATCTGGCCACTCCAATATAAAATCGAAAGAGAAAACTGGAAGATTAGATGAACATGCTTTTCATGCCCAAAAAGTAAAACACAAAGACACTTAAAAGTTCACAAAAAAAAAAGCAGACCTAAACTTGAAGGCCTGAGTCTCACACAAGAATCAGAAACTACAAAAGAAATTCACATGTCAAAATCA